CACCTCCTCAAGCATCAATACCAACCTACACAAGCCGACCCGTGCCTATTTCACAAACACAACCAGCAAGGCTCCATCATCATTGCAGAAAGCATGGACGATTTCCCATCAATAGCATCAGATCCCGACCTCCACGATCAACTACACATCGACCTCAGTCGAAAATACGAGGTGAAACGACTTGGATTCCGCACCAACTACCTAAAATGGACAATCACAAAACAAGAAAACCAATCCATCCACATATCTCAACCCATCGTAATCGCCACTATTCTAGAAAAGGCACGCATGACCACATGCAATCTAAAACCTACCCCCCTCCCATACAAAACAAACTTAGGCGAAGCATCCAAATCCGAAACTCTCACATCGCCGCAAGCAATGCTGCTCCGCCAAATCATAGGTGACCTGCGCTATGTCGCAGACAATACAAGACCGGACATTTAACTTGCAGTCAACAAACTAGCCACAGTCATGCACAACCCTACCATCACTCATAATCAACTCTTAAAATGGCTTCTTCGATACTTGAAAGGAACTCAACGACACAGCATCGAATTCACACGCAACAGTTCCCCCAATCAACATGCACTCAAGAGTTACGGGGATTCCGACTTCGCCAACGACCCCGACCGAAAATCGAGGACAGGGATAATCCATACCATGTACGACTGCCCCATCAGTTGGATGTCATCTAGGAAAACCGCAGTAGCCAGCTCCACTTGCGAAGCTGAATATTTAGCGGCATCCACTGCTACACCGCAAACACACTGGATTCGACGTGTCCTTGACGACATAGGCCTTCCAGAACCCCATCCAACACCACTATTTATCGATAACCAAGCCACGATACAAGTCGCCAAAAACTCAGCGCCCACTAAACGCAGAAAGTTCATTGACATCAAGCATCACATCATCCACGACGGCATCTCCCGGGGCACCATAACAGCGACACACATCCCAACCAGCAACAACTTGGCCGACTATTTCACAAAACCCCTCGGACGCCTTCGCACAAGCGAGCTCCTG